ACATCAACATGTGCAACAACACAGGAATGTCAACTTTTAACAGCTTTTTAATGGTTTCTGCAAGTCCAACGTATCAGAAATACATGGTTTTGTTTCCTTTCTAGAGCATATGGACAGCAATATATATATAGCAGTCATCTGTTTTCTCTGTGTCGGCTGTTGAAATGCATACTTATTTTTTCATGGAAATGGTTAGTTTCCACCAGCAATGAGATTCAATAGGGGCCAGTTTGGAGTAGTGGTTAGATTGCTAGACTACAATCAGGGATACCTGTGTTCAAATCCCATGCAGTCAGGAAGCTCTTTGGGTGACTCTGGGCCAGTCACTTTCTCCCCACCTAACCCAACTCATTGGGTTGATGTGAGGAGAGAAGAATGGAAGAAAATATTTGGGTTTGTGGGCTACCATGGAAGCAGCTTGGGATACAAAATTTTATATGATCTAGCAACTTCTCAGACTTGGGACAGATGTAAGGCTACCCAATTGCTTAACTGCAGTAAAATGAGTGGAGGTTCCCTGTCGAATAGTATGTTCTGCTCCCCTCACTTGTAGGCATGCCTCCCCCTTCAGTCTCTCTCAGTTTTGGAGGTACTTGTAGTTAGTGTCACGCAACTCTGAAGCCAAATCTACATTTTGTAGGGTGCCAAACCAACCTCCAGAGTTCCTGAGGTATTTATTTATCAATCAATCAACGTTTGATTTAAAGCTTGGAACACCTAAAAGGATGGCTTCTGGGCTTTGGTACCCCCCCCCACACATTTTAAAGCTTGAAATGCCTCTCAGAAGGCTTAGTTAACCAGTAGTTAGAATATTAAGCTAAAATATGCTGTAGGGGGTTTTTTTTACCCAGCTCCACTTACTACTGGAATATGGCCTGAGAGAGCTTTTTGTGCAATGGAATCTGTCTCTGAAGCTGAAGGCAGTTCAGAATCCATGCAATATCTGTTCCAGCGACTTTCTAAACTTTGGAACAGTGGATAGAAGTGAGTGGGCAGGCTGCAAAAGGAAGGGAAGAGAGTGTGAAGGAGGTTGCAAGGTGCTCCTGGTTCCTTAATGCTGGTGAAGTGATAGAGTTGCATTTGCTCTTCATCAGGTCTTAGTGGTTAATTTCCAGAGAGGCAAATGGAATGTTCAATGCCCAAGTGGCCAGGAAGTCCCATCAAATGAAGACTGTTAAGACCTTGGACCAAGGACTGTTTTTCTAGGGAGGATCTGAAGGGCTTCCACCTAGTCTTTTTAACGCACACTGGATTAAGTCACTGGAATGGCTTGGAATAAGGCAGTGTCATAGATGAACTGACATAGATTTTCCATTGAAAATCTAGTGTCCATTTCATGTTCCATGTCTGTACTAGTCTGGTTTAGAATTGTGAGTTGAATTCCTAGTTTGGAATGATGAACCCCATCGCTGTACTTAACCGCTGCTTCTTTGGGAAATGCCAATAATAGCATTAAAAGCCTGGATTCCAAATCTATTAAATGTGGGGAGGGGAGGAGTGTTTGATAGCAGGTCTTCCTGAGGTTTATGAGCAGCTGCCCAACCTGGGCGAGAGACAAGGCCCAGGGTAGAAGCTTCTGGTGGATTCCCTCTGGGTGAGAACTGAGCAGCAGAGGGAAGTGTTTGCCAAGCTGTAGGTGAGACATGGAGATACTATGAACTAGTGGAAGTGGTTCTGTCTGCCTCTGGTGGGTTGGCAAGGAAATTGTCCTATATGTGACTAGAGGCTGGTTATAACCAAAAGCTACAATTTGTGCTTGTGCTGAATTGATTGTATTTGTCCAGGCCCTGATAGGTTGAAGATATGTTTGTACTGTGGGTGGGTGTTAAGAATCTGTGAGTGTAGTAAGGATGTGCTGAGAAAATTCTGAGATAGGAACCCATGGAGGTAGCACCAGAACTCCAAAGACTTGGGGCAGAAAAATACAAGACAGGGGTTCAAGACACCAGAACAGAATGGATTGCAGATGTTTATTCTCTGTTCCTCTTCTATCCTGTTCCTCTAACTCTCATGTTTTTCATTTCATTTCATTTCTGTACCACCCAACAAGTGAAGCCATTGGTGGCTCATCCATGGAGCTCTCCTGTCTTGTTGGATTGCTTTCATTAGGAGAGAGGCAGCCGGGAATGTGACCCTGTTAATTCTGGCTCATCAGCCCTTAATACCATCAACTGTATTGCTTCTGAGGACTGAGCACTGGTGGCATTTTGTTACAGTGGTTCAAGTCTGAATTGCAGGGTTCATTTCCTGTAGTAACACAGGGTGACAACTCATTGGCAACTCAGCTGTGGCATTTCACAGCCTCTCTTTGAAGCCACGTGGAGCAGTCATTTGGAGATTTTGGAGCCACAAAAATGAATGGAGCCCTGTAACAAATGAATCAGGAGAAGGTGTGCAAGTTCTAGATCAGAGTCTGGATTTAGTGATGGGCTGGATAAACTGAAGCTGAATCTGGCAGGAAGGAACTCCCATGGGTGGGTGGTTCTCAAGTACAGGGGCCTGTTCTGGATGGGGTTCACTGTGTGGGGTACTCCTAGATTCCTATCAGGTCAGGTCAGGTCTGAGCGTTTGGTACTAGTGCATAAAACCCTAAATACAGGATACATGAGAGAGTGGCTGCTTCCTTACCAACCTGGTCACCAAGGTCTTCAGATGGCATGTCCCAGTTGGTTCCATATGGAGGCCACCTGGAGAAGGGCCATCCGTGTAGAGGCTCCCTTTCTTTGGAAGTCCTCCTCCTGGAGGTCAGGCAGATCCAGCATTGTAATGTTTCTGCTGCCTCCTGAAAACCTTTTTATTTTTGGAAGGTCAGTAATTCAGAAAAAAAATTACTGAAACCATGACTGGGAAGTCTTCTTGAACGGATCAGTCATGGTTTAATCACTTGTGTTTTTGACCTATTGTTTTATTCTTTTCTCTATTTCATCTTTTAGTGTTCACTGCTCTGAGATCTCCATACCTGAAAATGGAGCACTCCATAAATCTGGTGAATAAATGAATAAATAGAATGTTTCAGCTCTTCACACATTTCCCTGGGGCTAGGAAGAAAACCTCACAGGTTGAACTTCAACAAATTAAAGTGATTAGCTTGGTTGTCATCCATCCTGTTGCCCTGTGGAGAGTTTAAATTTGGCTTCATTTCATAGACTTGTTTTAGTGTGTTTTGTCCAGTAGCCGCAGCTTTGACCAGTGTGTTAATTCTCTTAGACTTTGTACTGTAGCTGAGTGAAACTGACAGCTGGTTGATCTACTGATTCACCAATTCATGTCGCTTTGAACATGCTAATGAAAATTTCTTTCATCTGGCTATTTAAACGGCACTTGTTTCTGTGAGATGTAACAGAACATGGTCACTCTTTTAATTATTAATTAATTCATTTGTTTGATATCCTGGCTTTTACTCCCCAAACAGTGCTCATGATGACCAAGATTACAAACCATGTTCACAAACTCTTACTATATTTATTTATTTATTGCATTGCAGACATATTTCATCCTTTTTTTCTTGTGAGGAATCCAAGGTAGTTTATGTAGTCCTCCTCCACTGAAAAAACATTGAAAACTTAAAACATAGTGTAAAAACAAATATAATAAAATACATAATAAAACAGTACAAACAAAACAATGCCAATTTGTATACCTAAAGCTTGCCTGAATAAAACAGCATTTGCCTGCTGGTAGAAGAACACCAGAGATTGGGTCAACCTGTTCCCCCTTAGCAGAGGGAACCAGAGGGCGGAAACAGCCACCAGGAAGACCCTTTCTTGTGTCCCCACCAAGTATGGCTCTTATTGTGGCAATACCAAGACAAGGGCCACCCCTAGAGATGTTAAATTCTGGGTGGACTTGTATGAGGGAAGACAGTCCTTCCTTTATTATATATTTTTTAATCTGTGTTACAGTGTAAGGTCCTTACATTTACAGCTGGATGTTCTGCATGAAAATAAACCTGTTCTTGGAGCAGTGTATATTTTTTTTCAAGATTGCATCCAAATTAATCTAGGGGATCCAAATTTTGTTCCAAGACAAATTCTACAATGGTATACATTCTACAAATTGAGCATATGCATAGTTCTTCTCAGTTTGCAAAAATTACTGTGCAATTTCTGCTGTTTTGCATAATGCTGACCTTGCTTAAGTTGGGGGAGGGACAAGAGGTGAGACCTCCAGCCACTGGCAACCTCCTCCAGCCACATCTCAGTTCTGAGAAGCATTGTCTATTTGCATGCTTAAGCCTGGGGTCAGCAACCTGTGCCCCTCAACCCTGTTCTGAAGCCCTCTGTTTGAGATCAGTTCAAACCTCTGGCAATAGAGATGAGTGCCAGATCCACGTCCTGGAGGGCTGATGGGCAAGATGCCTTCGGTGGGTCCCCTTCCTTAGGGAGCCTGCTGTTACATTTCTCCTGTTGTCAAGTGCTGTTGCTCCCCATGCTTCACCATGGCTGCGGCTTGCTTGCTTGCTTGCTTGGCAGCTAGCTGAAGAGCCATTGAACAAGGAGACTGCAGCCGGCCTCTACCCAGCACCACCATTGTCTGGGCCAGAGTGAGAGGCAGGTGCGGAGGAAGACCAGGGGGCTCTTGTCAGTGTGCCCTGCTTTCAGTGGCACCTCTGGCAGAAAAGGGAATGGCCGAATGGGGGTGATTTATCCACGTTTTGCTCTGGCCCTACATCTAGTTAGGTTCAGTCTGCCTCCCTACTAATCTGTGGCCTCATGCAGATTGCCAAAGAAGCTGCAGTGGGTCCCACAAGTCCACCTGCTGCACTTGTTCTCTGTTCCCAAGGTATCACGGCACCCCTGCAGCCATGCAGCCTCTTTTTCCATGTGGATGTCCAAAATTGCTTCATGCCTAGTGCAAATCAGTTGCCCTTCCATGTGTCCCTGTTCTGTCCCATGAAGAGCAGGATAAGTATAATTTTAAAAGTATTGACTGGTTTAAGCTTTTCATCTCTGGCAATTTTGTGCATCATATATTTTTCATCATTTATATTTCCCATTTAGATTCTAGCCATTAACCGAGGGGAGAACTTGAAAGTCTTGACCGTGAAGGTCAGCATCTCTGATGGTGTGAAGATTGAATTCTCAAAGTGGTGTGTAAATGAAAGGTGTGTACAAGGGTGCAACTACAACAGCACCAGAGTTCAGTTCGTTCTCCTTATGAACACTGTACACTCACTGCATCTCACATCCATTGTATTGAAATGGAAAAACGTTTTCCCAATTATGGTGGAGGTACAGTCAGTTGTTTGGGTTGCTTTAGCTTAGGAACTGGCAAGCTTTCAAGCATGTGGGAGCTATTTTGTTTCTTGCTATGATTCCTGGGACCTACCAGCTGGTCTTACTACTACTTAGAACAAGGGTAGGAGCTGAATCTCACCCCTCCAAACCCTTAATGGACTAGAAGAGGTCAGTGGGTGCGGCCCCACTCATTCAAGATACTGGACCATCCCTGTGATAGTCATGGGATTCTGTGCCTCTCTCAGCAGAGAGAAGGGGAATCACACAGCACTGGAAAGAATAGCTGCTCCTTTGGGCACCGGCTGGCTCCCCAAGTTTGAACACCTTATGCCCCACCTATAGAAGTGGCCTGCAATGGACTTGGCTGGGACATGGAAGGGCACCTGCTCCTTTGCGCATCAGCCAAGTTCCTATCTTTGTGTGCTGCATGTTTCCCCCAAGTGGGTAACACGCAAAGAATTGTGCGTGCATTGAGAAGAGGCCCTGCTTTTTTTCCTGTGGACAAGGCCTTTACTTCCTGCATCACTGGCCCTGTCTCTGATCTGTAGTTTAAATTAACAGTAGAGATTACTGAAAACCATTGCTTTTCCTGCCAGTTAGGAGAGGAAGTGATGTGCAACTTCATGGAGGAATCCAATCCAGCAAAAGGGTTTCTCTTTGTCTATCCACTGAAACTGTATGCTACTGAGGACTGGATCTTTGCAATCTTTCATGGATAGTCTGGCAATATTATTTCTGTAGCTCACAGGTGGATAGGTAGGGTTGGTTAATTGTGTAAGAATTCTGTCTCAAACTATGTCTGTCATATGGATCCTTCACCATATGCTGCATATTCTGGCATTGGGTCCATCGGACAGGTCTTTCTTCTATGAATGTTTCTGCATTCTGAATCTTGAATATCTGCTTTTATTGTATTTTATATTTTAACATTTATGTTTTATATGCTAAGGCCAATGGCTAATGCAAATCAAGATTGATTTGGTCTTGAGCCTCCTGGGTTTGGGCTGGGATAATTCTTGTGTAGTGTTATGAACAGACAAGGTGTGTTCTCCTGCTGGTCCTCTGGTTCATTGACTGCTCCATCAGCATCAGTTGCACCCACTCCCAAACAATAGGAGACATTAAGACTGGCCCAGCTAACAGCATTGTTATTGAAAAGGCACACTACGTGGTCACATTCTGTTGGACCTCCCCTTTTTATTGGACCAGCATGAGGTTAGTCTAGAACATTTATTCTCCAAACTTAATGGGGACATACCCTGTGAAGTAAGTAGTCAGATCTAAACCTCAGAAAGCACTTGTGTCAAAGATGACATACCATTTGTTGAATTTAATGCTGAAATTTAGATTCAGAATATAAAGAGCTTTGCTTGTACAGCAAAGGCAGCTTTTTTACACAATGATTGGGGAAGACAACTTGAAGGCATTTACGTCTGTTGGTGCTCTTTTAAACAAGCTGAAGGTTACAGGGCCTTGGCAGGCCTTCAAGAAACTACTGTGGCTTTGGGACACTGGACAAGTTCACTGCACTACCTGTTGAACCTTGATAACTTCCTCATCATTCTTCTGGTACAGCTCATACATTGGAGGGGACCTGAGTAACAATCCAGGGACAGTCAGTGCTAACATGTCCCCTTGTTCAGGGCAAAATTCTGCAGTGGAAACTATTTTGTCTTAAGACTCCCTAAGCAATGTAGAATTCTGAAAAATCAGGCTGTGTGTTGCCAAATTTTGCCCTGCACATGAGAGCAGTGAGGACTGAGAAGTTAGAGTGCCCATCCTCACTCCCCACCCCGTGTCTTCATAGGGCATCTCAAAGGAGCCTCTGCACAGAAATGGCTGACAGTTCTGTCCTGATAAAACTAGGATTGGGCTCTTGGAAGGACGTGCCCTAACAATGTTAACAAATGAACTGAGTCTTAAATATTTTGGTGCACAGGTGGAGACCAAAGGCCTACGCAACCCCTGAACTGATGGAGTTGCTGCGCTTTTCTGTTGAAGATGCCTATAAACGCCTGATTTACCCACTCCTCTGTAGAGAATTCAGGTAAAGCAATGCATGGTCATTAATAAGGGATGAATAAGGCACTAAGCTGAGCCCTGCTGGATTGGACCAGTGCCCTGCTTCCTCCAGCCTCCTCTGTCCTCTGGAAAGGGCTTGAAGGTGGAAGCCGCTGCATCTCCCTGCCGCCTCTGTGCCAGCAGAATCTGGTAGTGTGCTGTCTTCCGAGAGCCTAGTAAGCCACCTTTAAACCTATCCCCCATGGGATCCCCTTCCAGAGCTTGACAGGTTTGCTTTCCTGAGACATATATTTAAATTCACTCTTCTCTAGTCTGGCAACCTCCAGATCTGTTGGCCTGCAACTCCCATAATTCCCGGCCAGATGTTCTGATCCAAAGGAGCAAGGCCATCTAACATATCTCCAGAGCTCCATGCAAGGAGTCACGCCCCACCATTGCCTTTAATGCAGGAAAAGGGATCTTCCCTGACCCTGAATTAAGGGCAGAAGCCTTGCTCCTTCCCTCAGAGTTCCATATGGCTGTTATGGAACCTATCTTTATCATAATTATATGACTCCCTGGAGCAAAAAGACTTTAGGGCAGCTCACAAAATAGGTGGAAAGCAATATATACAATAATAAAAGTCTTCAATGACTGAAGGAGAAATGTCTTTCCCTGATGCCAGAAAGATAACAGTGTGGATACTAGGCATGCCCCCTTGGCAAAGGCATTCCATAAGTCCTCCACTCTTGTATCTGCTCATCTGTCTTCTTTTGGCAAGAACACCTAGACAAGCCCTGAAAAATCACTGAACGGTCTGGGAATGTACCAGTCATTCATTTGGACTTGGAAAATATAAGCGTGAGAATTTTCTCCCATTGGATTGCTTTTGGTCATGGCTTCTGTTTTATATACTTCAGCCCTTTGCTAAGGTTGTATTTTCCTGGGTGCGTATGCAGTCACTCTTTGTTGAATTGTGTGCTGCTTTAAAGTACCCTTTCCAGATGTCTGAGACTTGGAGAATGGTCTATTTCATGCTCAGGTCCCCAGCCCGGATTAGTGTAAGTGCATTCCTACCAGGCATGAATGGAAAGCAGAGGAAGGCTAGGATTGTTCTCCTGACACTAAACCAGCCCTATGTCTTTAAGAGAAGCATTGGTCTGAAATGGTAACGCTCTCACTTTTATTGAAGTAATATATTTTGATTTAATATATAATCTTAATTTTATGGATGGATCCAAAAGAGACAAATGAGTTTTCCTATCTAAGAGGGTAACTTGGTGATATGAAAAATATAATTCTGAGAACAGTGACTTGAAAGTAAGGCCCACTTGAATCAATTGGAATTAATTCTAATAGATGTGTTCATGATTAGGGTAGCAGATGTGTTTTTGAAACATCTTCTTGAATCAGAGACAAATTCATAATTCATCCTTTAGAATATGTGAAGTTTGGCAGGTTAAAGCCCTTGTTTTTCCTAACAGTCAGGATGGTGGAAAAGAATTTAATGGCAGAAAATGCATTTTAAATGGGTGGAAAGTTGACAGGTTGTGCATGCAAATGGCAATTTATTTAACATTTTTAATGACAGTGCCATATTGTGGTGGGTTTTTTGCCTATATATTGAGTAATATGTCAGTTTGTTATAATGGTCTTGATGCAAACTGCTGTGCTACTAACATTATTTTATTGTATCTGTTTCACAGTCATGGTTGAACAGTGCACTCCATCATGTCATTCTAATCCTATTTCTCATACTCCTCTGGAGAGAATTGGGGAGGCTAATTGCTCTAGTTATAAGTATCTTTGCAACTGTCATTTCCCCCTCCCAAATTAACAATTTAATAGTCATAACATGGGGCTCAACTCTGCGGTGGTACTCTAATCACTACAGGGTATGAAGCAATCTCTTTTGCTAGTGACAGTATAATGACTTCTCTTACCAGCTGAAGTGCCATTAGGGTATTGAAGGAATAAAATGTGAGTTTAAGTTTAAACATGCAGTTCCAAAAATACATTGAAGAGTCAGAGTGTTGCCTTAGTTGTTGTTCCTTTTGCTTTTTCTGGAGTAGGTGGGAGCTGAGTGATCGTATGTCGTGAGCAGAATTTCTAAATTTTTTTACTGCTCAGTTAAGCAGTTTATCTGCTGTTTCCCTCTCTGTGACTTTTACTGGTGATTGTAATATTGTATGTTTCTTGTATTTTAGAGGACCTGCATACAGTGCCTGGAGGGTACACGTCCCTTAAGTGAGGCTTCTAAATACTAAAGTTAGTGGTCACAAAGTTATAATAAAACCCAAGACTAATATTAAATTTTGGGCCCAGTTCTTCCTTGGGTGTGCTTGTGGCATGCGTGTTCTCATATTCTGCGGCACTCTGCTGATATTTGAAGTGGTGAACCAAGTCAGATGTTTCTTTCTGCCTTGGTCAATCCTGGCCAGAAAGTTGCTGATAGGAAGAGTAAGAGAACCACCTGCCATTCCCATGTAGTGCCATATCTTCAGTAAGAGGATTGTCCATTTCAAAGTGCCTAAACCCAAGGGTAGGCCACTTGGTGTCCTCCAGATGTTTTAGACTACAACTCCCATCAACCCCAACCAGTATGGCGAATGGTAAGGGATTATGGGAAGCCCAAGCAACTTCCCTGTGTAATTATTATTATTAGTCGGAAAAAAAGCTATTTGTTTATGGAAACAAGTAGGGGAGTGAGAAAATAATATGGAGTGTTGGTGTGAGAAAATGTGATGTCAAAATAGCCTTATTTGCAATGCCCCTTTCTTAGATCAAAGTTAACATCCGATGCAGAGAAGGAATCTGTGATGATGTTTGGGAGGAACCTCCGTCAGCTGCTTCTTACAGGCCCTGTGAGAGGACGAACCTTGATGGGGGTTGATCCTGGCTACAAGCATGGCTGCAAGCTGGCGATTATTTCACCAACCAGTAAGTTGTAATTCCATTTGAGAGAAGTGGTAGTTGTATTTGTAGGACATAGAATGTCTGATGTTGGTTAATGTGCCTATATGGTGATTCCTTTTAGAACAAATAGGAATTTAGGATGATGGCTGTGAAGCATTTTTATTGGCAGTTGCAGTCTTTTATATTATGCTATCAATTATTAGTGTTATTTATAAAGCATGTAAGTTACTAGGCCCTGTACAAAAATTTTAATTGACATAAGTCGCAGGCTTCCAACCTAAAGGTGATGACAAGTCATGTTAGGGAGAAAAGGACAATAAAATAAAAGGGAAGGCGAGTTGGTCAGGATACGCCAAGGTGAACAAAAGCACATTAATGTAATAACAGAGGAAGACAATTCGATGTCAAGAAGTAAGCAACTTCTTTTACTGATATTGGTAACCCTACTCTTGGCCATCTTGTTATGCAAGCCTCTTCTAAAAGAATGGCTCCTTTTAGGTTTGCTCCTTCAGTATTGCTGTTAAAAGTGGCTTGGAACCTTTTACTTCATGTTTTAAACGAACTTAGAGGTCTACGTCATGTCAGAACTGGGAAAAGTCTTCTTTTGATCTTGCCCAACACACTTAATTTAAACTAAGTAGTTTTCCCAGTTTAGCATAACAGGAAACCCTAGTTAGTTTAGAAAAGGAAGTGAACGTTTTCAGTCTCCTTGCAAGCATGCCATAGTGGAAGAATGGTGGGATGAGCAGGCAATTAACAAAAGTTTTTTTGTTTAAACAATGCTATGTTTGACAAATACCATAGATATTTCTTCCTATCAAGATAAGTTTTCCTTTCTTTTTGGCTTAGGTCAGATACTTCACACTGATGTTGTCTACTTACATTCTGGTAAAGGATTCCTTGAAGCTCAGAAGATCCGGAAACTTCTGTTGGATTACAAGTATGTTAAGGAAGCTCTTACAGCTATTTTGTCTACATATATTAAGGCCAACCTGAAATGAAGCAGGTGCTTTTTGTGCTCTCCCATTGCATTTATTTGGCAGCCTTTCTCAAGTCTTTGTGGATATTGTGGGGGTATAGATTAGCAAATGGCTGCCACAGCAACAGAGCCCCCATGTCCTTTTGTGCTGTGCAGGTGAGCAATGAAGCTGCCAGTATAATGCGACATGAGAGAGGCTGCCTTCTCTCAGTTATATCTTGGCTTACTAGGCTGAGATATTTGTCAACCTCATTCTTACCAGTATAAGTGCTTTCCTCCTCCCATTTTTGCTTGGCTCCATGCTGTGCAGAAGTCTGATTAATCAGAGTTTTCTGTTCCATCTTGAACCAATTGCAAGCCAGTGTTTTAAGATTATGATTTATTCTGAACCTGGTAAACATGGTTTCTGAGTTCAGATGAAACAGCAAAGCATGAAGGGAGGAGAGAAGGACTATAGGTATAACCACAAAAAGCAGTAATAAGCTGAGCCAGGAAATTTCAGTTCTGTGGAGTCACACTGTATTCTGTGTGAAAGGGTTTTAGACTTCCCTGTTAGTTTGAGTAGGTATGCCAGATGTAATATATTTGTGCACTCACACATTCTTATTTTAGAGATGAGCGGACTTGCTTTCTTCTCTGATGTAAATTTCCCCTCTTTTCTCTTATCAACAGTAGTGGAGTAGCACTGTGTTAATAGTAATTGTGCTTACAAGGCTTAGTTCTCTGAAGAAGATATTCCCAGCATGGAATAATGGTGTACCCATGCCTGCCACTTGCAGGCTCCATTACATTTTTAATCCATTCAAAAGACATAAATAAATGGAATTGGGCTAAAGAGATCAAGGAAACCTCATATCTACCAGAATATTTTCTTTTGTTTATATGTTTGATATTTGTATTGTTTTTGTAGATTGCCCTAGAAGCTTTGCTGAGAACTGGTACATTAATCATGAAATAAATAAATGGAAAATGCCAGCTATTTGTTCTTTCACTGACTGCATTCATACAAAATGCTAAGCTCAAACTCTGGAGAATCTTGCCTTGTCATTCGCAAGCAAGGATGCCAGAGGAACTCAACAGGGAGGAAAAGCTGAATGTGACACCCAGATTGGAACTCCTGGCTTGTTTTTCCCCAACAAGTCAGAGTTTGAAGTGGGCCAACGATTCTTGGCTTGTTTGCGAGTGATGACCCAAGAGTCAAGCTTTTTCTTGCTAGTGAGTCCTTGGCTACTGATGCTGCTCCAGCTGTTGGGTGAAGCTAGGAGGGAGCAGTTGGGCAGTGAGCATCACATGTTCGCATGTGAATGAGAATCCAGGATTTGGGCTTGTCACAGAGTTGGAAGGGGCCATTTAGCCTTTTGTGTCCAACTTAGTGTTGGAATCCAGTTTACAGTGTCTGAGAGTTGGCTGTCAACTCTCTATTTGAATACTTCCAACAACAAAGAGCACAATTACTTTCTAGGCAGTTGGTTCTGTTGCCTCGCTTTTCTGACTGTTAAGACATTTTTTCTGATGTTCAGCCAAAACCTGTCATTTAAGCCTTGTGTTTTGTGTCTTTGCACAAGTGTGGTCATTGTCTTAAAATAGCCAGGTTAGATGGGTCTGCTAATTTTAACTTATTAAGGCAGATGCATCTTCTTGCCGTGCCGATGAATGGACAGCAGGGGAAGCTGATATGGTTGGATGGTGTGACCCTTTTGGGACTTCCTTAACATTAAGCATCTTTTTCTTCTCCTCGAAAGCTGCAGCATTATTGTGATTGGCAATGGAACGGCTTGCAGGGAAACAGAAGCTTATTTTGCTGACTTAATTACAAAGAAGTATTTTGCTCCTGTGGATGTCACTTACTGGTAAGAACATTCATGTTAATTGGAACTTTATACTGAACTTCCTATTGTATTATAGGAACTAGCTTTTTATAAGACTTTCTTTGAGACCACCATTTCCCCCATGAATCTGTGCCGGGCTGATTTCTGGCCTCTGAAAACAAACCTTGGGGCTCTTTGGGACACGCAGTGTGGCACTGAACGGTGTTTACTTAATATCTGCTGTATCTCGAGTGCTGTGTAAAGGAAGAAAGAGAGCCAAGAGGCATTTTTTTCTAGGCTGAATGTTACTGGCATGGGGGAAGCAGAGCTGCTAAACTTGAGAATGGGCTGGGCAGGGCTGGACTGGACTGGACTGGCTCCAGATTTCAGGGGGCATCTGGTAAATTGCCAGCTGGTGAGCCTTTCTAGGGATTGTGAGGAGGCGCTGGCCATTCTCTCTCACACTGTTCCAGGGTCATTGACTGCTGGCACAAAAACATGGTGGAAGTTGAGTGGTTTTCCAGGACTGAGTCAAAACCAAAGGATGGTAGCTTACTGGAGCCAGTATGAACGTTGCTGTTTTCATAGCAGTCTAAGGGCAGGTGCTGGGAATAGGTTCTGCTGGGATGCTTGAGGCCTGACAACTCAAAGATGCCACCCACTGATGCCAGGCCTGGAGCTGAGATCCAAGCTTTCCAGGTGGTAGCTCAATTAGCCTTATCGTCACATCTGGAATATTTGAAGAATATGATAAAAGCTTGCAGAGTTCTTTTAAAAATTACTGAGATTATTCATCTGATGAACTTTAACAACTGCCTTTCCCATAGGAACCAGGGCAGATATTACAATCTGATTCAGCAACTCGCATCTCTGACCCATCACCAGGAAGCACATGTTTGTAGTCCAATAGACTATGGCTTAAGAATAGCAGAAACACCATGCTGGATCGGACCAGTGGTTCATCCAGTCCAGCACTCCGCTTACATGGTGGCAAACCAGTGGCTCCCTCAAGCAGGATGGGTGTAATAGTTCCTCTCATCTGAGCTCCCCAGGAGCTGGAAGATGCAGACATGCCACCTCTAACACAGGAGGTAGCACAGTGATAGCTTTCTCCTCTACGAATTGGTCCAATCCCCTTTAAAGCCCTCCAAGTTGGTGGCCGCCACTGCTTTCTGTGACAGTGAATTCCATAGCTCCCCTGTGCATTGTGCGAAGAAGTACTTCCTGTTACCTGTCCTAAATCTCCCATCAGTCAGCTTCATGGGGTGACCCCAGGTTCTAGTATCATGGGCAAGGGAGAAAATGTCTCCACACCTTGCACAATCTTGAACACCTCTGTTATGTCCCTGCTTACTCACCCTTTTTGTAGGCTTAACAATCCCAGCCGTGGTAACCATTCCTCAGAGGGGAATTGCCCTATGCTACTTGAGCAGACCAACTTTTCTACTTCTGAACTATGCCATACTGCAGACTGTGAGAACAATCGCTTGTTGAAATCAATGCATTTTTAGTTGGATGTAAAGAAGACTTGCTGTTTCAGTGGGACTTCAGTGGGGCTCTCTGGACTGCACTGCGTTAACATGAAGATGGGGCTCATGTAGTTCAATGCACCTTCATTCCCTGCAGTTCCCTGCAGACCAAACATTACTGTGTCAGATGGAGAGGCTGCTTTTTAACCGTGTCCTTGATATGTTAGTTGGAAGGAAGGGTTTTATATGGAGGCCCTTTCAGTCAAGTTAAACAGGCTTGCTAAACAATGTTAGTGTTTATTTAGGTACATGTTTTCCACTGCATATGTTATGTGTTAGGCCTAGGTCAGCTGCCCTTTGTGATGCAATTCAATTAAAAAACAACAATTTGAAAGCAAAGCTTGGATCAAATGATTGCAAGGGTTTGGAACGAGGTGCCTCAAGAATTGTGTACAGTCTCTAAATGGTTCGCTTTTTGCATTTCATTCTATTCCTTTGTATGTATTTCCAGCTCCTTTATGGTTGTTCATGGGTTTATTTTATCTTAGCAGTTCTTTTATGGTGTAGGTTCCATTTTTCATAACCTCTCTTGTTTTCTGTTGCTTGTGGGAGGGGGCTTATAGTACTTGGGAGAAATAAACAGAAAGGGGAAAAGATCAGTTGATGAAATCATTAAAAAGTTAACAACATGCTACTGTGTTGGCAGCAGACAATTTTATTGTCTAGTTTACTTGAGATCAGAAGAGAGAGAAAAATAGTAGTTTTGCTTTGTTATACGAAACTTCATCACAGTCAATACTACAGAGAACCAGTAATGTTAGTGTTCTGTATAAAAGAAGTGGTTGCACAGCACAAAAATAATGCTAAGAATATTTTTGTTATAAATCTTAATCTTTGTGTAATAAAATGGTCATTTAAGTTCTATGTAATAGGTAAACATTCAGTTGTGGATTGTGCCTATTACAACAAAGGGGGAAGATACAATTAAACAAGGACTTACCAAATGAAGATTCTAAGGTGGGCATCTGGTTGTGTATCCATTTTGTGGCTCTTCCTTACATGTTACCTGGTTGTAAGGTGAATTCTTCTCCCATCGAACTATGAAAAGTCATCAGCATTCCAATAGTTCCAGTTTTATCAAGGGGAAACACAGGCAGAAAAATACCCTCCTATGCCAAACTTTCCCATTTTCCATCTGAAACAGCTGCTACTTTTAGGAACATTAATAAATGAAGATTGCATCTTACTGTCTGGACAAACTAGGTGGGTCTTAATGGTGGCTTCCTCCCAATTTAATCCCCCCATGAAGGGTGGAATTAAACATTTTCCCTGCTTACCCATTTCCCTCTGAAATTGTATTATCCTCAAAAGTCAGTTTACATGCTATGTTTATTATGTAGTGGGCAGCTCAGTGTGGGTTTTTTTCTTTATCAGAAGTACAAGGAGGGGATTCTTCTCTGGACTGGGGCTATATGCATGGGGAGGGGAGCTGTAGGCTTCTTTACATGGGGCATTGAGCTCTTGTGATCCCTCCCTCAGAGGCACAACAGAATCCTCCAGAGCCTCTCCCTTGTTTTCCAGCCATTTTTCGTGGGATCTTTTTGAGCAAGGAAAATTCAATTTAAATTTCAAACCAGAACAAGCTGGAATGAAAACCTCTTAAAGAGTCAGTGTGGACTAGTGGTTAAGAGTGCGGGTCTGGGACTCAGGTGATCTGGATTATAGTCCCCACTCAGCCATGGACCCATTGGGTGACTTGGGTCAGTCACAGACTCAGCCCAACCTACCTCACAGGGTTCTTGTTGTGAGGACAAAATGGAGCTATGTAAGCTGCCTGGGTTCCTCACAAGAGGGAAAAGGGAGGGATAGAAGTTGAGTGCATCATAATCATAATTAATCATTTAGGCAAGATCCAAGGCTACAACTATATTAAAAGTACTATATACCTTCTGCTCAAATAATAGGAGTGTGGTGATAGAAAATAACATCTTGGCAGATATGCTGCAGACTAACTTTCTTAGGAAAATGTCATCTTAACCCGAATGCTACTGTTCTGGAAAGTCTTTCCTTCTAACTAGGAACCAAACACATGATCCAAAGAACCATGTATCTGGTTCCATGAGTCCAGGGGACTTGAGACTTGATTTTTCTTGATCAGAAGTATTGTTGACCTTTTGCATCTTCTGTATTAATACCTAAAAGTGTTGGGAGCTAGGGTCCCTCCCTTTTCTCTTTCATACAATGGGCAATTCTTTGCCAAAAACTCTTTTCAATTTACATCCGGCAAGCGATAGCCCGCAAAGGATGATTCTCTGAGCATTCACAGAGTTGTTTGTGGAAACCAAATTAGAAGCTATTTGTGAGAACCCTCCTTTGAGTAACCCTGGACTGCACCCCATTGGAAGCTGTGTGCAGGTCCTGTAGTTGGGTAATCTTTTTCTCCTAATGCTTCATCATGGGGTCAATGATAGTAGCAGGCTCTTCAGGCACCTCACCCAGGTCCTCTCCTGGCATGTCCAGACCTGGTCAGTTCCCAGGGTCTGCCTGAAACAACTGGAGAGAAGCTATTCTTCCTGCTTCTCCTCTTTTGCCATCTTTATGCCTGCAGACCTCCTTTCCGAGGCCTCGCCGTCCTCATCTGAAGAGTCATCCTGGCCCTGATATGCTTGCCAAGAACAACTGCCTCTTTCATTCCCAACACAAAGTCAGTCTTTGGGGGTGTAACAGTAACTTGTGCCTCCAGTTCTAACTGAGAAAAAAACCTGTGCAATGAAGGCTCCTTAATTAAAACGGGAAACAAACGCTTCTGATGTTCTCTTGCTGCCATGCCAAAGAAGAAGGAAGTTTATTACATGGGAACACAGCCATCCATATAAATAATAGAAAGTTGGGTGATTGAGGCTGCATTCCTCTACATGTCCTAGGTGCGTGCACTTAGGATTGTAGTCTGAGTCACAGCAGTAAATGAGGTGGTTCTGTAAATATGTACTTTAAACTAGAATGAATTTGCATGCAGTCTAATACATGCTTAATGGAGAGTAAGCTCCATAGATGTTGGGGACTTGCTTCTAAAGAGACATACATGGGATGTGTTCCCAATGCAGCTTTAAAACACATGCGCTTGACCATTATGGATTAAAGGTACACTCCTATGAGACTTGTAGGACTTTTTGTGTTTAACCACAGGATTCTGCCCTAAATTGATGCTACCAAATTAAGAATGTGCTTCCTGTATGTATCTTAACATTTGCCTTAGTATTAATTTCTTTTTCTTTCTGTTGAACCCTTATTTGTTCCCCATTTTATAACACCCCTCCTCTTTCTTGGTTCTCTAAAAATTGGCAGTATTTGCACCTATTAGTCATCTGGGTGCATTGAAGTATGCCGAAGCAAATTAAGAAAAATCCATTGCGCATCTGATTTTCGGGACAGTCTGCTTCATTGCTTAAGCAACTTAAATAACAGTAATAAATGCTTTGGTCTTTTTCTGATGAAATAACTTTCTAGCTTTGATGTGGGGCCCCATATTGGCAAAAGTTTTAGTTTAGGGTTTAGTTCCTTTGTAATTTTTTA